CTCACAACACCCTGCAACCCCTTCTCCACTTCAAAAACTGTCATAACTCATTTGATCTATGCTGCCCGATGGCGTGACCACTGGGGGACAAGGGGAAAATATCTATCTTTGGAAAATCTTCCCCACCCCTTTATAAATGCCCTTTTCATCCCCTGAAAGTGCCTAAAAACCTCAAATTGCGCGCGCTTCCCGCGCATTTCTTGTTAGCATGGGCAATTTCCTCTAAAAATTGCACATTTTAGGGATTTTTGATCAATTCCAACGAAATTAGAATTAAAAACACCGGGGGACAAGGGGAAAATATCCATCTTTGGAAAAATCTTTCCCCACCCCTTGACAAATGCATCCTCATAAAGTGCCTAAAATTCTCAAATCCTTTGCGCGCATTTCTTGTTACAGTAGGCCAATTTCCTCTATAAATTGCACATTTTGGGGAGTTTTCATCAATTCCTACGAAATTAGAATTAAAAACACAAAAATACTTTGCGCGCTTCGCGAGCATTTTTTAGGGCTTCTTTATGGTTATCCTTTTAAGTTATTTAAACACATAATTGTCCCAAACTCAAGAAAGACAAATTTAAGATAGATTGTTTTAACCTAAAAAAGGGCCTCAATGTGTATTGATGGTGAAAGAATATGTTAGTAATAAATAAAACCATGATGAAAATGTTTATATTTAGTTTCAAACACACGTGTGTGGCTTATATTATAAATAAGATAGCCCTATGTCGTATTGTTTTCTATATGGGGAGTGGGGTGGGTATGGTAAATTACTAACCGGGAAAATAAATACCCACTCTGACCCAAGACCCCTGTTACGCGCCTGGTGTTAGCGCCAATGTGTGCCCTTGTGCAGACTGGGGATGTGCCCCCCCCCCTCTGAAGTTGGAAAACTTGTTTTTGCAAAATAAATTGATGCAATTTGCTATTATAGGCCTAATCAATAAATTCCTCATCAACCGATATAACCTTAAACATTCTTGGAATTGACATAACATTACTGATGTCGTACACACCCTTGTGTGAAATGTGGCTCTCTTTGCAAGCACATCTAATATCTAAGGAAATAAGAGCTAAGATTGGTACCAGATAAAATAATTTTGTTATCAACATTAATACATTATGCTAATTTTCATCTTTGTAAGCGCATAAGAGAGTGCAAATTATTTCTGTGACAGTCTTTTGAAGTATATAAAGCTCCATTTTATCCCATACTCAAAATATTGGGGGGATGATACAATGGACCATTCCCCCCCCCCTTGTCAAATATTGGGGGGATATATCCCCCACCCCCCTGGGATCTACGCCTATGGTCTTCGGATTTGTTGGTCATCTTTATTGTGTTTCACGCAGAAGAAAATATATCCAATAAAATATAGAGAAATACTCTCTCCAGCTAAAGAATTGCATTATAATAACGTTAAGGTGTATACAAGAGTCGTTCTTTGCTTTACCAATCGACCACTTGAATTTTTTCATGATAAATAAACCCTTTAAACATCGTTTCAGGGCGTTTCCGCCAAGACTGCCACTATTGTAGTCCGGCCCTAAGATTCCTCTGTGGAATTGCACTTGGCCATTCCAAAACAGTTTTTTCTACAGTATAGCTTGAGGTACGGTAGACTTATACCTGCTTATACTACAATAACATCGTGAAAAATAAGTAATTTCAGTTTATTGGAAGAACGAAAAGAATCATATTGGAGTTTTTATAACAAATAGAATAGAAGAAAAAAACCAAGAGATGGTTAGAAGATAGAGATGAAAGACATAAATTGTTGTCATAGAGTTTTATCTTTGCAGGACCATTGTAAAACAACGTTACCATCTCGTCTAACTACATTATCATGTCTAAATATGCTAATTAGATACTTTTGAAATAAGGCTATATCTTTTTCAAAAATAAAGATGATGTCAACAGTGGCGGCAAAAGCGGTGGGGTACAGGTGGACACGCTGACTGCTATTTATATCGTTGGGAAACACTGCTTTAAAAAATGCTGAGTCTCAGAATTTCATTTCGGGCATCTCGGGGAAGAATTCTTAAAATTTGCTCCAACCATGGCTGAGGTGGGTGTGAACCTCTAGTGGACACTTTAGACCGCTGGTCGGAGGAAGTGGACCCAATGTTGAGGTATCAACTGTGTGATGAGAATTTTACTGCAATTGCCTGATTTCAGATTTCAGAAAAAGAAGTCACTTGATAATGTTTGGACTAGTTCTCTAGCAGAATGACGACATATTGGGTATCTAGGCACCTAGGATAGATACGAGGCCGAACGGCTAAGGCCTCAATAATATATTTTTAGCTCTAAAATACTTTCAAATTGACAAAAACCGTAATGACAAATACATTACTGTAGTTAGAAATTCATATATTTCCAATCATTTCGGGGGTCATTCTAGGTTGACGGTGACACAAAAGTTCAACAATTAGCTTACTTTGAAGGCATGAACAAGAGGATGTTTTCTTTGCTAATTAACAGACGAAAAATGTCGTCAATTATCTTTAGACCCTTAAATATACCCGGTCGTTTCGCCATTTTACCTGTTCTTCCATGTCTACGTTTCGCCAATACTCTAGGTATTTCGTCCTGAATTGTTAAAAATAGTAACACAAGGTAAGAAATATTTTCAAAAAATAAAAATGAAGATCGTTACTATATATTATTTACCTTTAAATATTTCCTAATCATACCAATTTTTTTTACAGATATACGAACCGATAGGCCTGTAACGAAAGCCAAAATGTTCAATAAGAATTCCAAGTTCGTAGTAGATGATGATTTGGAGATAGACCTAGTTTTAAATGAGACTGAGTTCAGCACAGTACTAAGGAGACCTGAATCTAATGATTTTTTTAAACATGATGTTGCTGAATATCACAACAAATTGCAACACAATAGCTCTAATAAAAATACATTACATCAAAATGGAGAGAGTTCATTCAACAAGAGATCTGGTCATACCGAACACACTGATATTAACAAACACGAATGGAATTTTTTAAATTTCAATGATGTCTTAGATATGTCCATATTAGCAAATCGGTTATCAACATTTAAAAATTTCTCTGATACCAATATTTCTCCACGACAACTTGCGAACGATGGTTACTTTTATGACGGGAGGAACTTAATTACATGCTCATCCTGTGATTTCACAATCGTTTTAACGCAGCTCCGCGATGCTGCTCTGTTACATGAAATTCAGTCGCCAAACTGTGAATTTATTAAAAAGTATAAAGATGAAAGAAGAATTCGTCATGAAGCCAGCGATCCACATAACATATACAAAGAAAGGTCTGCCTTCAGGCCAGTACCTCAATCTGCAAAAGTGATCAGTGATGAATTGTGTGAATACGCTTCAAACCATTATGTTGGAACAGAATGGTCTCGAAACACCTCAAATTACTTTAGTAGGCCTACAGAACTTTCTGTTGTTTCCTCCCCTGAGCCTTCAACTGCTCAGTCTGCCAAAGTGAAGGATGATATAAAATCTGAAGACGACTCAATTTATTTTAGAGATGCAATGATAAACAAATCAGCTGCAAGATTTTCTGGATTTTCTAACGAAACATCTCGATTGGCTACGTTTTCTTCTTGGCCACATGCAAAGCCTGATAAATGGTCAATTGCAATGGCAGGATTTTTCTATCAAGGTTTCGGAGATCACGTGAAATGCTTTTACTGTGGTCTTGCATTAGATTCATGGGAACCAAATGATGACCCTTTTTATGAACATGCAAAATTTGCTGATAGATGTACCTGGCTTGAATATAAGAAAGGAAAGAATTTCATAGCAGAAAGCAAAAAGAGGCACGGGCTAGTGCAGCAGGGCACCACAGAATGTGGAATAAAAGACTTAATTCCAAACGATAAGTTAAAAAAGGAGGAAGATTCAAGACAAGTAAATGTGGATGACGTTTTGATAACTTCTAGAGTTGTGAAAAATGCTTTTGAACTTGGTTTTGAAGAGGACGTCATTAAGGCAGTTGTGAAACGACATCTCGAAGACAACAAGGGAATTTTCGCAATGTCCAATGATGATATGATTGACCAGATTTTGAACTACGAACCAAATGATGTAAATGTTAATGTTCCATTAAGTAAAGATGCAGAAAATGAAATTGCAAATGAGTTCTCGAAACTTCAATTTGAAGAAAAGACCCACAATGCATCACAAGATGTTCCATCAACTGCCAGTGAAGAGCCACAATCAACTGAGGCTATGTTAAAACAACTGGAAGATTTGAAGGACCAACAGGCATGTAAGGTTTGTTTAAATCTTCCCGCGAACATAGTTTTCAGGCCGTGCAACCACCTTGTCACCTGCGAAGAATGTGGAAGAAAACTGAATTCATGTCCAATTTGTCGTGAAAAAGTCAAGGACCGTATTAAAATTTTTCAGAGCTAAACTGATTTTATTTTTCATTTTAATATTTTGACAGAAAAATAACAAGAACAAAGTTATTTTAAATATTGTTGGTTTTTAAAACTATTAGTAACATAATAATAATAATATTATTAATAATAATAATAATATAGTTTTATATAGCGCACATATCCATCTAATGTAATGTGTCTGTGCTACCCGGTAACCCGGTACCAGCAACTATCATCGTCGTCCACCACAGGGGCTGTCTGTCCAGTACACCAAGGTATTCCCCTACTCGTCTTCAAGAATGTACTGGGTTCTTTATAGTGCACACGAGCCATTGTATATACTGGGCCCACGGTTTATAGTCCTTATCCGAGAAGACTTGTTTTACCACCAGAACCATAGGCGAGCGTCCCGTTCAAACCAGCGCCGATATTATGGCTATAGCTTGCGGCGCCCCTGTTAACCGCTCGGCCATTCGACTCGCATAACGTTGTTATATTAATTCTATTATTTTTAATTAATATAATATCTTTTTTATAAAAAAAAAAGTGGGGGGTATTAACTTAAGTTTAGAAAATAATCCAATGACATATTTATTATTGAATTATTATTATTAAATTATTACTCTAATAATAATAATAATAATAATAATAATAATTATTATTATTATTATTATTATTATTATTATTATCGTTACTGTTAGTTGCTCTTTGTTATTATTGTTGGTTGCTATTAAAATATTAGTAGTAGTAGTAGTAGTAGGAGGAGGAGGAGGAGGAGTGTAGTAGTAGTAGAAGTAGTAGTAGTAGTAGTAGTAGCGGTTGTAGTGCTGTTTGTAGTATAGTCATATTGCATATTTACATCGGAGTAACAACTGTCCTGATACATGTGTACATGCATCTTGAAATTCGCAGCGTGTCAAACCATCTGGAAAGTTTGGTAGCTCCTAACGAAAAATCCTGGATCCGCCTCTGCATATGTTACAATAAAATTACTAAAACATTATACCGTAGATAGTGCATGTTGTTTAACATTATGATACAGCACGTCATTTTAAAGTTAATTGTTTAATTTTAATTGTTCCTCTGCCTTCTCTTTGTTTTTTGAAGTTTGATAATAAAGAATTTTGATAAGGCTTTGGAACGTTGAAAGTATGGGTTAAGACAATTTGAAAGAAAAAATACAAGCTGTGATCTAACCAGATAAATAATTCGATGCTCAGAACTGTATCGAGAAGAGACAAAAATGACAGGCCGGGTTCCAGACCAAATATGTCAACAGTACTGGTACATACTCTAAACATGATTTTGTACTAATAAAATGCCGGTTTTAGTACCATTATAAAACATTCAGCGAACCCTGGTCCAAAGGCTTTCCACAAAGACTGAGAATGTTTTACCAGAGAGTTGTTATTTAGAGGGTTTACAATTGAAATTTGGCCAAACACTTTGTACAAAAAGTGTTATTAGTGCAGATCAAAGTCCTTTGTGCATATATGAACTCCCTAACCAGCAGATCTACCTCGTTTAGTTTCTGAACAGCCATTTGAGGAGCAGCATAGAAGTAGAAGCCAACTGCAATTCTATATTATATTTTAGTATACCCGCAACCGCATTAATATAGGCACTTAGACGGTCGGTTTATTTTAAACTGGGATAATATGAACTAACACTATTGTTCTTGAGTGAAGTGTTTTATAATTGATATCTTGCGTAAATTCTAAATTAATTCTGCGTCTGTAATTTACTTTTGTATAAATCTATAAAGAATTATTGAACACACAAATGATTCGTTCATGGGTTTTATTTTAAATACATACATACATACATATATATATATATATATATATATATATATATATATATATATATATATATAATGCAGTACAGTAATACATTGCAATTATGAGAGTATTTCATTCATTCATCTTTTATTTCAGAATTACAAATCCATAGAACAACAACAGAACAAGGCGATCGAGAGCACAAGAAAAAGTAGATAAACACAATTTGCTGTATCTGCTGTACACAAAAGTATTATAAGTTAAATACTGACACATGCAGAAGCAAAATAGGAAAAAGTGATTCCCAAACATAGTTAAACAAAAACATCATCAACAAATTAAACAACTCTGACAACACTGTCAAATTTAATCGAACTATGTGCAACCCGTGGTAGGCTCGTTCAGGTACCTAAGGCCGAAGCCTGCATACCCCAAACTATGCATCCCGGGGTAGGAACATTAAATCTTAAGACCGAAGCCCACATACCCCAAACTATGCAACCCGGGGTAGAACGTCAAATCCTTATAAGGCTGAAGCCCGCATACCCCAAAAATTATGCATCCCGGGGTAGGAACGTTAAATCCTAAGGCCGAAGCCCGCATACCCCAAGCTATGCATCCCGGGGTAGGAACGTCAAATCCTAAGGCCGAAGCCCGCATACCCCAAAAACTATATCCATCCCGGGGTAGGAACGTTAAATCCTAAGGCCGCAGCACGCATACCCCAAACTATGCATCCCGGGGTAAGAGCGTTAAATCCTAAGGCCGAAGCCCACATACCCCAGACTATGCAACCTGGGGTAGGAACGTCAATTCCTAAGGCTGCTCGCAGCTTGCATATCCCAAACTATGCATCCCAGGGTAGGAACGTCAAATCCTAAGGCCGAAGCCCGCATACCCCAAAAAACTATGCATCCCGGGGTAGGAACGATAAATCATAAGGCCGGCACTCATACCCCATACATCCCGGGGTAGGAGCGTTAAAACCTAAGGCCGAAGCCCACATACCCCCAGTATTCAATTATGAAGTTGGCCCATAAGGAGAAGAAGAAGAGTTAATATGGTGGTCATCTGATTGAGCTTGCTCGGGGATGTATTGAATACAACTTTATGTGAACGTTTAATACAGTTCGGCCTCGATTAGCAAATTTAAACTAACGATAACATGACATGATGAATAAGCAGGGAATCGGAGTTATAACTAATTCAGAAGTTGGTTTTCCAAATATTCTTTTAAATGTTAAATACTACTACTACTACTACTACTACTAATAATAATAATAATAATAATAATAATAATAATAATAATAATACAGTAATAATAATAATAATAATAAATAATAGTAATAATAATAATAATAATATTAATAATATTAATAATAATAATAATAATAATAATAATAATAATAATAATAATAATAATAATAATAATAATAATAATAATAATAAACGTAACACGAATATATATAGCTTTCTTTTTGCAAAGCTGGAATCTTATGTAGGCCCAAAATAGACCTATTAGGAAAACGAAATTCCAATTCACACTGTGAGTATTGTTGGGACTTGTATGGTATTAAAAACAATCATTGTCAATTGTTTATAATGTAGACAATTCTGTATGTTGGAAATTCCAAAATGTAACGAGAAGGCCCTGGTCTAAAAAAAACACAGGTAAGTAGGTAGATAAAAAGAAAACGCTGAGTAGGTATGTAGATATCTACGAAGGGTAGAAATGGACTTGAAAAGGGTTTACGCCCGAAAGATCTTATTGTTTAGGCAAATGGACTACAAAAATCCGCATAGGCCCATTTTTAAGCATTTACAGTTCACACAAATAAGTAAGTTTGCAACGAGTTGTTTTAAAAAAATAATGTTCTAATACCGTTTATCAACGAAAAATCAAGGAACTTTTTTTAAAGCATTTAAACACTTCCCACAAATGTAAGAATGTTTGCAACGAGGGATTTTCAAAATAATGTGTTGCACTAATCCCGTTTATCAACGAAAAATCAAGGAAGCATTTCATATACAGTCAAGGGAGCAACCCTCAATAATATATACTGCACGATTACAACATGTAAATTTAATTCTTTCGTTCCGATTCATTTCTCATCTTTATTCATGCTGTTCTTCATCTGTATGGTTCAATTCCTTCAACTTGAATGTTCCGCCTCAGCTCCCGTTTGTTCTTATGCATGTTTTCATCTTTATTCATGCGTTTCTTTATACGCCTCAGTTCACTCATTTATCATGAAATTTCATCGCATTTGTTCACTCCAATAGGCCTACTAGAATGTGCTTGTAAGCATAGTTACTCCAGTGTCGAGTTTTTTTAATACAACAGTTAGGCCTAGCTTACATGGTCTCTTGAAATTTGTCTGCTATTACTGTCCATTTGGTAATATCACATTCACAACTATGCAGACACACATGAAGAGAGTTTAACAATCAACGATTTTCGTAGGCTTGAAAAAACAGCCACAAAATCTAAACTGCACGTAAATTTTTTGAAAAACTGAGAAACTTTCAACGTTTTTCGTAAGTGTATTTGTTTCCGATTACCGAATACCAGCCACTGTGATGTAATTGTCATACGCAAACGAATTCTTAGATTAGATCTGCAATCACCAAACGCAAAAGAACATCAAAAACTCCAACGAGGAAAATGTTTTCCATAAAATTAGGAACGTACTCAGCGGTCATGAATTCTACATACTTAACAGAACTCTTCAAGACAACGTACTCCTATATGTACACCACCTGGGGCGGATGCAGACGGTGCAATCGCTCCCCCCCCCCCCCTACCTAAATTGTAGTAAGAAAAATAATTGTTTTATTGTATTAGTTGTGTTTTAGACCTACCGGTAAGATAAGAAGAGCTTAGATTGGTACCAGATAAAATAATTTTGTTATCAACATTAATACATTATGCTAATTTTCATCTTTGTAAGCGCATAAGACAGTGCAAATTATTTCTGTGACAGTCTTTTGAAGTGTGCAAAGCTCCATTTTATCCCATACATAGTCAAAATATTGGGGGGGATGATTCAATGGACCATCCCCCCTTGTCAAATATTGGGGGGGATATATCCCCTCCATTCCCCCCCGGGGATCTACGCTTATGGGTTTTTTAAATATCCAGCGTGGGGTGTTTGCCTTTGAATCCCTTTAAGTGTGCCTCACATCGACACCCACTCCGGATTGTCACTTGTACCACATCTTTGGTATATGGTCTATATTTGGACAAAGTTTGGAAAACATCCAAGCATGGAAAGTGACTAAAGTGCCAGTCAGAGTATTAATGAAACCATTACTAGATAAATGTAAATAGTAGTAATAGTAGCAGTAATAATAATAATAATAATAATAATAATAATAATAATAATAATAATAATAATAATAATAATAATAATAACAATAATAATAATATCTTAAGAATACCACAATAATTTTCAACCGCAATACCATATAGGCAAGGCCAAATGAATTTTATTATAAAACTCGGTACAAAACAAAGATGTTTATTATTGATCTTATAAGTTCTGTACTAAAGTAAGTTTTCATAGTGACCTCAAGGCTTGTTATCCATTCATGCCATTATTTCTTCTTTACAGTCAAATCGTTACCTTGAAAATGCAATGTCATGGTGTCTGTTCAAAGAGCTATGGTTCAATATTTAAATACAATGCTTCATAGTTGTTCACTCTCTTTATATAGTACATTGCATGTTGCAATCGTTACACTGAAAATGGCGAAGGATTTGCCGAAACATGTCTGTTTTGTACCGAGTTTTATAATAAAATTCATTAGGCCTTGCCTATATGGTATTACGGTTGAAAATTATTGTGGTATTCTTAAGATATTATTATTTGCTGTCTGCTACTACACAAAATAATAATAATAATAATAATAATAATAATAATAATAATAATAATAATAATAATAATAATAAAAATAATAATCAAATTCCAGATTTTTTTTTATGATTCTTAAATGTTTTTGGTGTCTTGTTCTTAAATTGTTAAGATAGTTAAATGTTTTAACTATTTTATATATTTTTTATTCATTGTTTTTATACTTATCCCATGACTGAATGAATTTCCTTCTTGGATAATAAAATATTTTGGAATTGTGCATTGTTTATTACTCAGACATGTATTTATTGATAAGTCTGATCAATAAATTCCTGTCTTAGTAATAAACAATGTGTTCAAAATAAAAGTTAGAATCTGGTGAAGGTTTTGGCTTTTCCCTAAATTCCATTGCATGGGCCTCTTCTGTTATTAGCATAACACTGTCGCCAACACTTGACCACAAATCAGTAAATCACTTCGTGGTATAAAATACTAAAGACATACTATACTGTAAAATTATTTGATAGTCTACTAATAAATATGTAGCCTATCTGTATAACGGTAAAAAAAACGAAATCTAGACTTAGGCTCGTCGGCCATAGTTGAATTGAGTGACTCACAGTTACTGTGGTACTTCGGATCAGCAGGCGTCGTCGGTCAAGCAATTCTTGGGGGTGGGGGTTAAGCCTGGTCCCGCCGTCGTCCGAAGCCACAATGAGGTGGTTAGAATAAATATATTAATCTGCAGATCATCCAATAAAGATAATTGTGATTGTAATGATATACTTTATATAGGCCCATCGTATTTCCCATGAACCCCGCCAGGGATTTTATTCCAGGTCCCTAAGCCAAACTCTAAATCCATTGGAACGGACCCTTAACTGTACATGTCGGCAAATTTCTAGAGCCACAACTGTTGGTTTATGACTGTGAAATCCTGAAAAAAAAAACTCAATTTAATCATCTTTTTTCATTTATAGGCCTATCTCTTGTCTTGTATATATGCCTATATTTTTAAATTATTCTATTTTTAAACCATATTATTTTGTTCTTGAGGGCTTATCGTTTCCTCTACACAATGAAACTTCCGATGCATATATTTCTATTTTTATCATGAATTTTCATATTACTGTTATTTTTAAATTTATGAACCCATACTGCAATATGTCATGTTCTTATAAATGTGCTGTGTGAAACAAAACTGAAACTAAATTCTTTCATGACACTCTCATTGTCGACACTAGAAAATCAGACTTGCCTTTGTATAGTAGTGTTTGTTTATGGTATTGGCCTATATAGCTAGAGTTACGATTACCGTAGTTTCTATTGTTAACAGTATGGCTTATTTAACATTACCTTCTAGAAACTGGAATTTCCATCATATAGGCCCTATTTATAAATACTGTATTTTTATCATGGATGGTAGCTACAGTCTCCTTCAGTTCATACGTTCATATTATGTGGGAAATCATACCAAATTGTACATACTGTAATTATGAACAATTGTATAATACGAAGGTAGGCCTACTGTTGCTGTACTCTGTATGAATAAAAAAAAATAAAAGAGAAAAAACGTTTGCAGATCCAATAAAGATAATTGTGATTGCAATCCCTGGTCTAACACTTTGTGTTCGGCGCACATTAAACTCCCCATACCCCACCAGTGATTTTATTGCAGGTCCCAGCCGGCTCTTTGATTTGAATTTCACAAATCAAATTAAATGAGGTCATAATCATGGGAAAACGATAGGCCTTAACATCGTTTTCACTAAATGTTATCGTTTTCCATGATTATTATTATTTTTTTTGTGTGTGTGTACAGGATACATCGTTATCGAAATCGTGCTAGTATGAACTTCTCTTATTTCTTTTATTTTCTATGAACAATTGCTTTTCAGCTTTTTATCATTGATCGTTATCGTCATAGTGTAAACAGGCCTTTACATTGGGTTCCGACCCCAAAGTAGGCAAAATTCTGGAGCCACTAATTGCTTCCGGCGAATTGTGAATGATGTTGTGAACCATCCCTGGATGGAAAAATACTGAATTTCCTCATAATTATAACATTGTTGAAACTGGAAAATCAGCATAGCATGCTGCATAGATTTATAATTTGTTAGTTTTTTATTGTTCTATTATAATGATGATCATGGATATTAATATTTCATCATCACCAATTATGTTATCTCATTTTCATTGTATGGGTTTTCATATGGGTTGCTTGAAATGTCAGAACCCTGAGTGATAACATTATCTGGTTTTTTTTTATTATTATCATTATCATTATCATGATTATTATTATTATGAGCAGCTAACAGCAGCTAGAAGGTAGGCCTATTTGTTGCCGCTGTCTTGTTTATATAGGCTACTCTGCATGAAGACACACGAATACCAGGAAAATAACAAAGTTTAAATTTGTTCAATCAATTGTCAGAGTTTTATGACATTCAGTGGTGACTTGTTATGTCGTGTACTCACAACCACCATAAAGAGATATTGATAGTATAATATTATAGGTCATATTTTTGTTCAGGGTACAAAAAAGACACGAAAACAAACATTTTGGAATATTCTATTCCTTTCAAGGGGTAAAATGCAAACCATACAATCAATCAACGAACATGGATATTGCAGTTGTCATCGACAGATACTTGACTAACCCTAAAAATTTAAATAGAAGGTTGTCTGTGCAATACACAATACTTTGAACTGGGCCTAAAGGTACAAATGAATCAATCTGATGCATGATCACATTCCGTCAGTTTACCTCTGTGAGAAAACGAAACAGTTTGTGGGACTCTAAAATCGATTAAATAAACATTTCAAATCCCTACATTGGTAGAGCTTTTGGGGCTTCGCCCTTGACCCTTTTCCAGCAGATTTGGGCAGCCCCTAGGCAAGCAACTTACGCTCTCGCCGTGGCCCCATCCCCACCCGCTGTCTTGAAAATGTGGACCTTATCAAATTTGGTTGGGTGCGTTATTAAGACACTCTCCGTAACACCCCATCTACTGGATATACGGGCCTGGA